ACGCTCAGTCACTGAGACGCTCTATATCAAAACGCAAATCAACAGCCTTAACTTCCAGGCTGATATGGAAGATCTTCACGAATCGTATACTCCGATAATAAACAAGGTCTAACTTTGCATAGCTTTATATTACAGTTTAATTTCAAGGTAACAGCTAGACGGTTTTATACATTACATATCCGACATTGTGCACGTAATATGTGATACGAAAATGCGTTTTTTTCACTGACTTTATTTTATTTTATTAACGACTTTCGCTTTGACATGGAATGATCTAATCTTCTGATTTGGATGTGAGTTTTTTATCGGATGGCCGCAACGAAAGACCGAAACAGGTTAATTTTAATTTTAATATTGTACTCTTATCGAATGATAATTATCGATTGATAATTATTGATTTTGCATTTTTTATTAGATTTGTGTTTATTCTCTAATGTATTATTCTTGAATATGATGATTTATATTATTGTTACGTCTTGACTTTCTCAATCGCCCTGTATTATTTCGAAGTATTTTTAATATCAAGAAACATTCCATTTACATTAATTTTTTTAAATTTATAAATGACAAATAAGATATCTTTATGATATTACTATGACTTTTACGTTCTACGTGGGTTAATCCTTCGCTGGATCTAAGTGTTGTAGTGTGTAAGAACAAACTCAATTAAAAAATTTACTGATGAGATTTTCTGCTGAACGCGCTCATATACATATGTTGTGTAAGAGTTATATCAGAGAGTGAGTGAAAAATTAACATACAATTTTCAATAGTGTAGATCTGTAGATGTTTTCGCATGCATATTTTTTTGCCAGTCACTCAATAATTATAATTTATTATTTATTATGCGTATAACTTATGAATAACTGGTATCATCGGTATCAGTACTTGTTAAGCCTTTAAATTGTTCGATACATTTTTATTAATTTTGAAAATATTTCGCTACAAACTGTTGGAAAGAATACGATATTGTAAAGGAAAGGAAGCGTTGTTAAGACGATAAAGTACATATAAAATTCGAGTTTTAATGTCTTTAACAAAAGGAATTACATTAGAAGAAGAAATGAAGAGGAATCCTCAATTGAAACTGTCCGATATGCAATCACTGAGAGAATGGTGCGAGAAGCAACCACATTTGCCAAAAATTGAAGACAGCTTCCTCGCTTTGTTTCTTCACAGCAATTACTATCAAATGGAACCAACGAAAAACAAAATCGAGAATTATTATACGATAAGGACACTTTTACAAGAAGAATTTTGCAATCAAGATCCGCTTAAAGAAAAGGGGCTACAACAAATCTTCAAAACCACGTAAGCAATTTTAAAATTATTAATGAATGAAAACAGTAGTAATATTTATAATTTGTTCATATATACATAAAACGGCCAATTTATATAACATTTAAAATGTTAATCTCATTAATATATAATGTGAGATCCACTTTCAAAATAAAATAATTCTTATGAAATGTATAGACATTATACTTTCGAAGATATCATAGAATATTTTTAATATTTTTTATACATATATAAACTTGTTATATAAATAAATTTAAGTAAATTATCATCAATAAATTTAATGTTAAATTATAATACACTCAACTAAATATCGATAATAAACTTAAGTATCTTAACAGATCGAAAACACAATTGAGCTATACAAGATGTAATAATTATATAAAATTTATTATTATTAATATCATACGGAACGTTTCAATTTTACTGTGTCCTCATCAGCCGTACATAACCCACACAAATTAAAACACATCAAATAAATTTAAGTTACGCCAACGCATTATAAATTACGTGGTATTAAAATTCAAAGTAAAAATTATAAAAATTAAAAATTACGCATTATAAAATATAAATTTTCACAAAAGTTTGAGCTTCATTTATAAAATCGATGGACATTCATATAACAATAATTAATACGTTAAAAATGGCGAATAAGAGTCAAATTACAATTTAAAATCTGAATCTGATAATTTATTCTAATATTCTATATTGCGAAGAATATCACGTAATTTTTGGCGTTTCGTCCCGGCTTTTACTACTGGACTCATCAGTAAGGTATTGTAATGGAAGCCTACCTTAGGCGACGGTGTAAGTAATTAAATTGAGATGCTATATAAAGAGATATACGCGTGTCTCAGCACTTGCGAGAATTTGCGAATATCGATAGACCTTTGATGGCGGGTCGACGTAGTAATATTCTTCGCAACATTTATCCAAAGTAAGAAATAACGTTCTATTAATATATGTAGTCCCCCCAAATTGACAGTCATATAGTCAAATCGTAAAAAAAAGGATTGTATTGGTTTTTTCTTATAATTTGATTATATGACTGTCCATAAACTTCATAAATGAAGCTTAGACTTTTGTGAAAATATGTATTTTAATAATAACTGCGTTGACGTAACTTAAATTAAATTTATTCAATTTATATGTTACAATTTATTTAAAGAAGTATATTATTAAATAAATTAATTTAATTTAAAAAGGTTTGTTTTTCCTCTAAATGGATTGACAAAGGATGGCTGTAAGATGGTATTTTTCTCATTACTGGACAGTGATCCTTCTTCCTTTGACTGGATTTACAGTTTCAAATATGCCACAATGTCATTGGACATACATTTATTGATGGATGGTACGACTAATGGTACTATTTTCATTGTTGACGCTAGCAAATTCTCCTTTGGTCATGTTAGACGATTGAATCTATTGGCAATGAAGAAATATGTGTACTACGTTCAAGAGGCAGCTCCAGTACGATTAAAGGCACTTCATATTATAAATGCGTTACCTGCCATGGAATTGTTTGTCAGCTTGATAAAGCCTTTCGTGAAAAAAGAGTTGATAGACATGGTAAGTATTATAAATCAATCATTTAAATTCAGTTGCGTTTACTTAACACAACAGCCGATTTTTAAGAAGTGTATTAATTTCCTACAAGCGTGATATAAGCGCGATCAAATAATTCAAATGTAATTAATAACTGTTTCTAATCGTACCCTTATAAATTTACTTTTAAATAAAACAAGAATTTTACACAAAATATAATATTGTATAAATATTATCGCGATAAACGTAAAAAAATGTTTTAATTTAATTATCCATAACATCATAACGTTAAGTTGAAAAATTATATTCACAATACTGTACTATTATACTTACAATTAGATAAGTTTTTCTGAATTTATTTAACTCTTCTAGATATATTTTCACTCATCGTTAGGGAGCCTTTCTGAATACATCCCAGTGGATGCGTTGCCAAACGAAACAGGTGGAAAAGCCGGTTCCACGCACAAGCTAGCTGAAATTCAAGTGAAAAAATTGGGAGAGTTTCGCGAGTGGTTTCTATTGGATGAATCAACCAGACGCGTTAACGAAGCATTAAGAATCAGCAAGAGCAAAACAACTAATGATTTGTTTGGTACAGAGGGTAATTTTAGAAAACTTGATATAGATTAATAAACATTTATAATTTATTTGATTTAACTAATCATGCTATTATTACGTAATTTCTATTAATATTATTTTATATTTTGCACCTTGAAGTGTTTTATATAATACTGTATCGTCCCAATAAACGCTCTAGTGGTATAAATATGATATCATATATGTACCAATGGTTTAGAATTTCTGTAGATCAAATTAATCAACGACTATTATACTGTATATCAATATTGGGTTAAATTATATAATAAATATAAATATTTTAAACGCTTTCTGTATACTTAATATACACGTTATACTACAAATATGGTATTAATGTAGTATATGATATACATATAATAATATACATTTGAAAATCGTAATGAATATACAACTTAAACTTTTTTCATAAATCTAATTTATCTAATGAACGTTCTATATGGTATAAATATGGTATAAAATATACATATCGATAATTTGGAATTAAAATAGTGTAAATATCTAGACGTAGAGGAGCTATCAGCGTCAGGGCGCAGTTCAAAGGCGAGACAGTTGCTTGCTAATATGACTCGAGGCCTTGGTTGAAGTTCCGGTACTGCATAGTGGAATTAGTGAGCCAGAAGACAGGTAGAAACGGCCAAAAGTCAACTTCGAATTTTTTTAATTGTAAAGTTATTTTCATATTCTATTGTTTATTGTAGTTTAAAACATTTCAAGCAAAATTATGTTAGAATCGATTAATTATTATGGGATTCGTTGTACTCTAAAATTAGAAATCTACACGAAATCATTACTCACTCGAAAGATGAAATATTCAAATTAGCTTTCAATAATATTAAGTTTTGCAAATTTTAATATCTGCTTATTGATTAGAATAAGTATTCGAATAGAAACGGAAAGAAATTAAGTACAAAAGCTTTCAGATATAGATATATACACCAAATTGAAATGCGTAACTGTCGATTTTTTTGACATTACGCTCGTTGCCTTTTGATAATTCTCCAAAGTTACCCCACAACATATCCGGAAAACTAAAATATGAATCTCTTAAGGATTTAATATACTTTAACTTTAGTCGGCTCACTTTTGCCCGTTTCCATATATTATCAAAATACACAACAAAATAAATAAAATTGCATGTGGTCATGATTTAATACGCGCCACCCCACTTCTTCCTACGCAAGTCATAGGCACAGTATAGTGGATCGCCTCGCATCACAAGGAACGTATATTTCTTTATGTTCTCTCACCTCAATTGCAATCGCCATATTTCTTCACATGTTATTTCTTTTAATATTGTAAGAAGACCGCGGTATTTTTTACTCACATCCTTTTTTACTTATTTTTTCTTTTGATTTATAAAAAAGTGTTTATTTATTATCAAATTCTTTTTTCTAGGACGGAAGTCAACACAAATATTTCGGATTCTCGTATCAATCAGTTATTTTCAACTTTTTTCCAGTTAAAAAATTTTCTTCGGCCCATATTTCTTTCCATTGATTGCTTTAAAAGCAATAGAATTAGTAAAAATAACAGAATTTAAAAAAAGAGAGATTTTTAAGAAGATGACAGAAGTAAAAGACGTGAATTTAGTAATTAACTTTATTATTTATAAGATAAATGTAAACTCTACTGATATAAATAGATTCTATATAGGCAAATAAGTTGAAAGTTGAGTATTTTGAGAACTAAACGCAATGCTAAATTCATAGCTGCCAATCGAATAAAAAACAGATTTGAACTGCAAGATGCAGACTGGCTACATTTTTCCTTTATCATTCCTAGATTAATTATTACTGGTATTTCCAATTGTACATCCAATATTCTTTTTCAATCGCTTTCCATATGTCAATTTTGCAGTCAATGCCTTTTCTCAACGTCGTGTATCAGTTCCTCGTCCATCTGCATCTTGTTGCGTTTGGTCGCAGAAAACACTCCAAAATGAGAGACTATGGAGAAGTCAAAAGAAAACATCCAATTGCTTCCCGAAATCAGCAGTGTTTGGATTTTTGGCTTTTTTGATATTAGGTTCGGAATCAGCGACTCCAACAATTCCTATAGATACCGAGTTTCACACAAATTCATCAAAGTTTTGTAAGTATGGCCGCCATATTGAATTTACTACTTAGAATTTTCTGTTTTTGACATCAAATTCGGAATTAGCGACCTCAAAAACTTCTAGATACGAGTAGATTTCACAAAAATCCATCAATATTTTGAATTTTGGACACTTTTTTGTATTTTCTGGCCCATTGTGCCCCGGTGGAATATTTCTCTAGTGTCGTCGCTTTTTTTTACAAAGCGCGCGCGCGTTTATGAATACGTATATAATATAAAAATGGAAAGATCGTGGATATGCCTACCAAAAATAAGTTTATCAGACACGTTTAAAAATACATATAAAAAATACCTTCATAAATACGTTTATAGGTATATACGTATTTAAAATAGGATGGGTCACGGATGTCTACGAATAATGTACGTTAGTCTAATACGTTTATATGTATTTTTTAAAATATGTTAATAAATAAATTTATGTATACGTTTATAAATACGGTTATATATACGTGTATAAAATGGAATAGGTTCCTACATGTTCACGGATTATATTCGTTTATTATATACATTTCTTACACGTACATACATTACGAATGGTTGTATGCGTTTTATACATTACATATACCAATGTTTGTTTATTGGAGTGTTTCTGTTATGCGTTCATTTTTTTTGCAACCTTTTGATCAGATGAATTTAAAAAAATTTCTTCAATAACATTAGAAAATAATCGTACCTTTTATTTATATAAAAATCGATGTCCACAAGTCTAATCTGTAATCCTCAGTCTCCGTAATGTATAGTGCAACATAGATTTAATGTTCATAAAAATTACACTCAAGTAAATACCAGCTAATTGTTAACTATACTTTCCTCACAGTTTAACTATATAATAGCAGCATTTAGCAAAAATAGTTGAATAGTGAGTGCTCCTCAGGTAGAACACAAAGTCATAATAAAATCATAATGATATCAAGGATGTCATCATGATGTCATTTCATACTTAAAAATAAACTTATAGATTATAAATCATTCGAATTTCTAAACTTCTTATGTTAATAATCTTAAATTTGGTTCTCATCGCATTGTTCCAACAACGAACAAATTTCTAAATCGTACATCGATAGAATTTTATAAGAAACAATTACACGCTTTCACAAACTACATGTATAACTAGACGAATTACATTGTTCTTGCTGGTGTGCAGAAATGAATACAACTTCAACTATGCGAGTAAGAATACACACCCATTTTTATATACTTTATAAATATTTATAATACTTTTTTAATATATTTTTTATATTTCAATTTTATAATCTCGAACAGTTGTTATCAACTTGCTATCTTTGTAACATTGATAATGACCTAATAGAGGTCGAAACGTTTGTTATTATATTTTAATTAAATTACGTAATTTTAACCAAACGACAATTTTTATTTACAAACAATTGGATATTTTAACGAATTTTTGGCTCGTAGCCTTTTTTCCTTTTTCATTATTCTTATAATTTATAAGTTATTTTTTGTAAAAATTATATTTTATGCTTTCGATTTTGACGGGAAGAACATTCAGATCCTTGATGAAGAATCTTGTTACAACAAACGCTCAGTCACTGAGACGCTCTATATCAAAACGCAAATCAACAGCCTTAACTTCTAGACAGATACGAAAGATCTTCACGAATCGTATACTCCGATAATAAACAAGGTCTAACTTTGCATAGCTTTATATTACAGTTTAATTTCAAGGTAACAGCTAGACGGTTTTATACATTACATATCTGACATTGTGCACGTAATATGTGATACAAAAATGCGTTTTTTTCACTGACTTTATTTTATTTTATTAACGACTTTCCCTTTGACATGGAATGATCTAATCTTTTGACTCGGATGTGAGTTTTTTATCGGATGGCCGCAACGAAGGACCGAAACAGGTTAATTTTAATTTTAATATTATACTCTTATCGAATGATAATTATCGATTGATAATTTTTGATTTTGCATTTTTTATTAGATTTGTGTTTATTCTCTAATGTATGTATTATTCTTGAATCTGATGACTTATATTATTGTTACGTCTTGACTCTCTCAATCGCCCTGTGTTATTTCGAAGTATTTTTAATATCAAGAAACATTCCATTTACATTAATTTTTTAAAATTTATAAATGACATATAAGATATCTTTATGATATTACTGTGACTTTTATGTTCTACGTGGGTCAATCCTTCGCTGGATCTAAGTTTTGTAGTGTGTAAGAACAAACTCAATTAAAAAATTTACTGATGAGATTTTCTGCTGAACATGCTCATATACATATGTTGTGCAATAGTTACATTACTGAATGGAAAATGAAAACAATGTGTATCTACAGTTGCTGTTGCTAGAAAGCATATTTTTTTGCAAGTCACTCTATAATTTTAATTTATTATTTATGCGTATAACTAGTGGGTAACCGGTATTATCGGTATCAGTAGTTGGCAAGTCTTTAAATCGTTCGATACACATTTATTAATTTTGAAAGTATATTACCAAAAACTCTCGGAAAGAATAAGATATTGTAAAGGAAAGGGTGCGTTGTTAATACAATAAAGTACATATAAAATTCGAGTTTCAATGTCTATCATAAAAGGAATTACATTAGAAGAAGAAATGAAGAGGAATCCTCAAATGAAACTGTCCGATATAGAATCACTGAGAGAATGGTGCGAGAAACAACAGCATTTGCCAAAAATTGAAGACAGCTTCCTCGCTTTGTTTCTTCACAACAATTACTATCAAATAGAACCAACGAAAAACAAAATCGAGAATTATTATACGATAAGGACACTTTTACAAGAAGAATTTTGCAATCGAGATCCACTTAAAGAAAAAGGGCTACAACAAATTTTCAAAACCGTGTAAGTAATTTTATAAATTATTAATGAATGAAAAAAAACAGTAGTAATATTTTTAAAAATCAATCTATCAAATTTTATCGTAAGATGAACAGAAACGAAGATATTTAAGAAATACGGAATTGACAAATAATTTCGACTCAAATTTTCTAAAAATGTACAGTTTTTAATGATGTATTTTTACAACAAACTGCACCTTGTGAACGATTTATTGTCTTGTTTTACCTTTGTATATATATAAAGTACTGAAAATAGGATAAAACCGATTTTTTAAAAAATTTTAAGCGCAATTTTTAAGCGAAAATCGGAATTTTCAATAAAATGTCAATTTTTAGTTACACATTCAAACAGCTGTAACTCGCAAACTATTCATCGTAGAAAGTTCAGCCGGTGCTCATTTTTTAGATAAATTAATTCTCTTCAAAAAATCATTTGGCGCAGTACTGTCTAAATGCAGTGAAAACATACTTATTTTCAAGGAAACGCTTGAAAATGGTAATTTTTCATGATTTCTTCCCGCATCATCTTATACTGATTATCAGAACGATATTGTATATGTACATTTTGATTCAAAATTTGATTCTGTACAACTTTCATTACATACACTAAGTGCTTACAATCTACAGTTTTCGACTTATTGATTTTATTGTGCAAAACGTACAGCAATTGTGTCTTATAAAAATGTTTAAATGATCATATCTCCATCAATATGGAAATGTTTAAAAAAAGGAAATTCTTCGTAATTAAATCCCCTACAACTTTTATTTGAAGCATTTTGCGATACGAATGGCTATTCTCGAGATACAAGCGTATAACGCGCGACGCGCGTACGCGTAATCGTTTTGCATCAAAAAAGGCGAAATTTAAAAAAAATATATCTCGGCTCCTATTGGTCGTAGAGAGGCAAATAAAAAAAGAAAATGTGCGGAATTTTGTCAGCTACAACTTTCTTAACGTTTTTATTTTTGATAAAATTGATACTTTTTGAGTTATTTTCGAAAAACTGATTTTTTTGACATTTTTTCTCCCCCCATTTCTCTCAGAGGGGGGGTAGGGGTGAGAACTTTTGAACACTTCAAAGGGAGCACAAAATAAGCCTGTTCCCAAATTTGCAGACCTGTAACTATTATTTCTTCCAAATTTTCCTATTTTACTGAGCTATTAATATATGTATAATGTGAGATCCACTTAGAGAATAAAATAAATCCTATAAAATGCATGTATAGATTTTATACATTTGAATGTAACATAAAATATTTTAAATTTTTTATACATGCATAAACTTGTTATTTAAATAAATTTAAATTAATTGTTATCAATAAATTTAATATTATATTATGATTTGCTCAACGAAATGTCAATAATAAATTTAAGTATCTTCCCTGGTCAAAAACATAATTGAGCTATACAAGATGTAATAATTATATAAAATTTATTATTATCATGTCATACGGAATATTTCGACTTCATGGGTCTTCATCAGCCAACTCATACAAATTAAAATATGTAAATTGAATGAATTTAACAAGTAACATAGAGAAACACGGCAATGAGCCAATAAATTAAGTTAAAAATCTTTTTAAATTAATTTAATATATTGCGAAGAATATCACGTAATTATGGCGTTTCGTCCCAGCTTCCACTACTGGACTCATCAGTAAGGCATTGTAGTGGAAGCCTACCTTATGCGCCTGCAAGAGTTATTCAATCGAGATTCTATATGAAAAGATATACGCGTATAAAGCTCTTGCGAGATTTTTCGAATACATATCGATAGACCTTTGATGGCGGGTCGACGTAGTAATATTCTTCGTAATATTTATCCAAAGTAATATATATATTTCCCCCCCTCCAACTTGCGCGCCGAACAATCGTCGATCTTGAAACGCAACTTTAATAATCTGAAATAACGTCCGCTTAATTAAATTGTGATTTTAAACGTATCTTTTCAAATGAATTTAATTTAAGTTACGCCAACTTTGTGAGAATTTATATTTTATAATACGTTGGCATAATTTTGAATTTTTCTTATTTTTAATTTGAATTTTATTATAATACTACGTTGGCGTAACTAAAATTAAATTTTTCAACATATATGTTTTTATTTATATAGGTTATTTACAGCTGATGAGGATTCGGTGAAGTCGAAACGTTCCGTATGACATTGACAATAATAAATCTATTATACTATTATTACATGTTGTATAGCTGAACGGTTTTGAGAGAGACCCTGGGAAGATACTTAAGTTTTTATTATTAAATAAATTAATTTGATTTAAAAAGGGCTATTTTTCCTCTGAATGGATTGACAAAAGATGGCTATAAGATGGCATTTTCATCACTACTAGACAGCGATCCTTCTTCCTATGACTGGCTTTACGGCTTCAAATATGTTACAATGTCAATGGACGTACATTTTTTGATGGATGGTACAAATAATGATTTTGTTTTCATAATCGACGGCAGTAAATTTTCCGTCGGTCATGTTACACGAATGAATCCATTGGTAATAAAAAAATATGCGTACTACGTTCAAGAGGCAGCGCCGATACGATTTAAGGCAGTTCATATTATAAATACGTCACCTGCCATGGAATTGTTTATGAGCTTGATAAAGCCTTTCATAAAAAAAGAGTTTATAGACACAGTAAGTATTACAAATCAATTATTTAAATTCAATTGCGTTTAATTAACAACAGCCGATTTTTAAGAAGTGCAATAATTTCCTACAATCGTGATATAAGTGCGATCAAATAATTCAAATGTAACTAACAATTGTTCCATATTCTTTTATAGATTTAAATAAATCAAGAATATTACACGAAATTTAATTTTTTGTCATCATCTCGCAGAAGTTTAAAAATTATATTTACAATGCTATACTATTCTACTAGCAATTAGATAAGTTTTTCTGAATTTATTTAACTATTCTAGATACATTTTCATTCATCGTTAGAGAGCCTTTCTAAATACATCTCAGTGGATGCGTTGCCAAATGAAATAGGTGGAAAAGCCGGTTCCGTGCACAAACTAGCTGAAATTGAAATGAAAAGAATCCAAGACTATCGCGAGTGGTTTCTGTTGGATGAATCAGCCAGACGCGTTAATGAAGCATTAAGAGTCGGTAAGAGCAAAACAACAAATGATTTGTTTGGTACAGATGGTAATTTCAAAAAACTTGATATAGATTAATAAACTTTTACAATTTATCTGATTTAACTAATTATGCTATTATTACGTAATCTCTATTAATATTATTTTATATTTTGCGCTAGTGTTTTATACAATTATTGTATCGCGTATCTGTTTACGCCATTTTTATGCAAATTTTTTGTTCAACGGAATTAAAAAAATGTTTGCATTAACGTTAGAAAGAAATAATCCTTTTTATTTGTACTTTACGTCCTTGATCAATTGGGTTGTGCATTTTTATTTCCGTGTCATTTAATATTTTAATTACAGTGATATATTAAAATCAGGATTACGATCACGTAACTTTTTCTTTAGAACGGAAACGTGAGAATGAACATGTTTGTTGTTGTATATGTGCAGATACACACACACACACACACACACACACACACACACACACACACACACACACACACACATATATATATATACATACAAAAAATTTTCAATTTTTATGTTTCCACTCTAGGCAAAAGAACATCATTAAGATCATTGAACTCATGGTGGCTTTACTTTGATCCAGAGCAGTATTTATATGTCTGTTAAGCTAGTACCCCCCACCCACAAAAAATCAAAATAGCACCTATGCCACAATTAAGTGCTATTTATGTTCTAATTATGTGCTCTAATGCCAATTTTTGTGCTAGAATAGTTTAGCAGAAAATCGCGATCAAAGGTGGAGGTGTTGGTTTAACGTTAAGTTAGCATCTCCTTTATCAAATTATACACAAAATCAAAAAATTAATACAGAAAAATTATGTGCTTTTTATGTGCTTTCAATATCATACATCAAAATTATTGTAACAGTAACGGTTTAGAGATACACGTATGTATCAGTAAATTTTGATACATATTATAACGGTGCAGGAGTAAAGTGCCAGTTGAAATGTAGACAGCGAATTGATTTTGATTGAGACTCAAATTGTTCCTCCATTTATGTGCTTTCAAAGTATGTACAACAAGATTTTGTTACTCATCCTCTTGGACCGAAAAATCACCCCCGAAGTGAGTAACCACCGTCTCCTTATAAGAATAAAGTACCAGTTAAAATGCAGACAGCAAATTTGTTTTGGATGAAAAGAATTAAAAATTTAATAATAAAAGTTATCATTAATTAATATCTAATAATTAATTAATGCCTAATTTCCTTTTAATAATTTATCAGGAGATGCGGTAGTGTCTCCGGCCATGTTCAAAAACTGTTATATTATATTCCGTAATTTCTTATCGATTGATAATTATTATTTTTGTATTTTTTATTAGTCTTGTGTTTATTCACTAATGTATTTATTATTCTCTTAAATACGATTACTTATAATACTTATATTATTGTTACGTCTTGACTCTCTCAATCGCCCTGTATTGGTTACGTTTGCACCATGTGCTTAGTCCGCGACCTATACCCCAAATTCGACCTAAATTATTTAGGTCTCGTGCTGTAAACACTTGGTAGATGACTCAACCTAACTTTAGATCAGGCCGCGTTTTTTAACGGCCTCACCTAAAATAGGTCGCCTGCTTTCACGATGTAAACGCGTGACGCGACCCAAGTGCAACAGATGGCTCAGTAACTCGGACCAGCGTGGTCTAAATACGACCCTGTCAACTTTTAGGTCTCTTTTGGTGTAAACGATTAGTAATTGGAGCTACTCTAGGTCACGATATAGGTCAGGTCGCTATCAGGTCGCTGGGTGTAAACGTAGCCATAATTTCGAAGTATTTTTAATATTGTTATGCCCGTTTCGTGCCGACGCCCGTTAGATCGTATCCGTTTCGAATTATGAAATGTGGAACGCGTTGCCGAGACGACGCTGTCCTTTGGAAGTAAACAAGTTTGGAACTGACCGTCGCTTTGATCGGACGTGTCAGGTCAGCTCCTTCTATTTTTCGCTTCTTGTCCGCTCTGTATCTTATTTAATAAAGTGAATCTTGTATTCTTATGAAAACCAGTGTCTTGATTTTCGTGTTGCGAGGACGCGCGTTTGCTCGGGTTCGCCAATCAGTTGCGCAGGCGTAACAATATCAAGAAACGTTCCATTTTCATTAATTTTTTAAAACTTATAAATGACAAATAAGATATCTTTATGATATTATTATGACTTCTATGTTCTACGTGGGTCAATCCTTCGCTGGATCTAAGTGTTGTAGTCTGTAAGAACAAATCGTATTAAAAAATTTTGATGAAAAAAAAAACTGATGAGATTTTCTGCTGAACATGCTCATATACATACGTTGTGTAATAGTTACATTACTGAATTGAAAATGAAAAAACAGTGTGTATGTATAGTCGTTTTTGATAAAAAGCATATTTTTTTACAAGTCACTCTATAATTATAATTTATTACTTATGCGTATAACTAGTGAATAATTGGTATCGATACCAGTACTTGCCAAATCTTTGAATCGTTCGATACACATTTATTAATTAAAAGTTAGCAAAAATTCTCGGAAAGAATAAGATATTGTAAAGGAAAAGGAGCGTTGTTAAGACGATAAAATACATATAAAAATCGAGTTCCAATGTCTATAACAAAAGGAATTACATTAGAAGAAGAAATGAAGAGGAATCCTCAATTGAAACTGTCCGATATACAATCACTGAGAGAATGGTGCGAGAAACAACAGCATTTGCCAAAAATTGAAGACAGCTTCCTAGCTTTGTTCCTTCACAGCAATTACTATCAAATAGAATCAACGAAAAACAAAATCGAGAATTATTATACGATAAGGACACTTTTACAAAACGAATTTTGCAATCGAGATCCGCTTAAAGAAAATGGGCTACAACAAATATTCAAAACCGCGTAAGCAATTTTATAAATTATTAATGAATGAAAACAGTAGTAATATTTTTAATTTGTTCATATATACATAAAGTGGCCAATTTTTATAATATTTATAATTTTAATCACATTAATATATAATGTGAGATCCACTTAGAGAATAAAATAAATCCTATAAAATGTATAGACATTATACTTTTGAAAATATCATAGAATATTTTTTATATTTTTTATACACACATAAACTTGTTATTTAAATAAATTTAAATAAATTGTTATCAATAAATTTGATGTTAAATTATGATTTGCTCAACGAAATGTTAAGAATAAACTCAAGTATCTTCCCGGGTCAAAAACATAATTGAGCTATACAAGATGTAATAATTATGTTAAATTTATTATTATCAATGTCATACGGAATATTTTGACTTCATTGGGTCTTCATCAATCATCAATAACCCATACAAATTGAAATATGTAAATCAAATAAATTTAATTTAAGTTATGGTACACCAACGCAGTATTAAAATTAATAATAAAATTAAGTACAATTCAAAGTAATTATACCGATTAGGGGCCCCGCTCCGATGACTTCGACCTTAACATATGTTGTCAAGGTCATGACCCTGAATGACCTCCAACATGATTTCAACCAGGTAATTCGTTAAAAAGTTATTCCTCGAAAAAGTTTTAAAAATGAAGTTTCTTTTCTACAATATAGAACAAAAAATTCATTGCTTTAAAATATATTTCATGACTATCTATGCAAAGCGAGAGCTACTTCACACCAACAAATAGGTTGGGTTAGGTTATTTTTAACAGTAGTGAAGTCCCCAGGGGGGGCGGAACCTATACTCTGCATCCATGCATGTTATTTCTTTTAATTAAACTGACAAGTCAAAATGTATACAAAAGAACGTTTAATGAACATTTACATTATGCAACGGATACATTTGACTCATAATTACGAAAATCTTCATCAATCCATTTATCATAATTATACATTCTTAAAATATATAATCGGCAATATAATGTTTAAAATGATAATCACGTATTCCATAGAAAAATATTAGCTCGCAAATCTTTCCATATTCTTTGGTAGATGGGAGTGGGATGAGAGTTGTTTAGCGTGAAAGTTGTACGCCCCTAAAGCAGTAGGACGTGTAGAATAGTATCTAATATCGTATATACATATATGTAGCAAAAATAAAACGTTATTATTAAAACTATGATTGTTAGTAACTTTTTAACGAAAGACGAGCGACGGCTAAAACTTGTAGTAGGTCACTCAGGGTGATGACCTTTACATGTCAAGGTCAAGGTCATTGGGGGGATCCCTTATTCTGTATATTTATCAAATTCAAAATTACGCCAACACATTATAGAATTCAAAAATTTTCACAAAAGTCTGAGCCTCATTTATAAAATCGATGGACAATTATATAATCAAAATGTAAGTAAAAACTAATAAAACTTTTTTTTTACAATTTGACTATATGACTGTCCATCGACTTTATAAATAAAGCTGAGACTTTTGTGAGAATTTATATTTTATAATACGTGTGCATAATTTCGAATTTTTACTTATTTTTACTCTGAATTTTAATACTACGTGGCGTAACTTAAATTAAATTTATTCAACATATAAGTTTTAATTTATGTGGGTTATATTTACAGCTGATGAGGACTCAATGAAGTTGAAACGTTCCGTATGACATTGATAATAATAAATCTTATATAATTATTACATCTTGTACACCTCAACTGTATTTTTGACATGAGAAGATACTTAAGTTTATTATTAAATAAATTAATTTGATTTAAAAAGGACTGTTTTTCCTCTGAATGGATTGACAAAGGAAGGCTGTAAGATGGCATTTTTCTCATTACTGGACAGCGATCCTTCTTCCTATGACTGGCTTTACGGCTTCAAATATTCCACAATGTCATTGGACATACATTTATTGATGGATGGTACGACTAATGGTATTATTTTCATTGCTGACGCTAGCAAATTTTCCTTCGGTCATGTTAAACGAATGAATCCATTGGTAATCAAAAAATATGCGTACTACGTTCAAGAGGCAGCGCCGATACGATTTAAGGCAGTTCATATTATAAATACGTCACCTGCCATGGAATTGTTTATGAGCTTGATAAAGCCTTTCATAAAAAAAGAGTTTATAGACACAGTAAGTATTACAAATCAATTATTTA